AATCTTCCATCATATCTCTCCATAAAAAGAGCAATAAATCAGAGGGATTGCAAAGCTTAGTGCTCTCCCCAAGTTATTCGGACTTCTGATTGCTGCGCAACTGCAGCACCAATGCCGGTTAATTGTGTCCCCCTCTCAACGTGACTTTATGAAAAACCTTCTTGAATTTTGAGATGAAACGCTTTCAAATTGAATTCCCAAACTGACGTTATCTTCCGCGATTTCAGCAAAGCTTTTGACTCGGTAAATCACCTACTACTACTACTGTTTTATTGACTAACTGGATTGCAACATATTTATCCAACCGTACTCAACGTCTTGCATTTAAGCGCTGTCTCTCAAACCGGGTTTTTGTCTCTACTGCGTTCTCAAGGGAGCCACCTTGGGCCACTTCTGTCCGGCCTCTTTATCAACGACTTGCCTGAAGTGGTTCTACACTCAAATGTGATGATTTACGCAGATGACGCCAAACTATGTTTGCCATTGACGAATTCTTATTCACATACGCTTCGGCAAACTGACTTAAATATCATGCAAATATCGTCCACTAATAATCTCCATTTCTCAACATCTCCAAATGCAATCTTGTGTCGTTTAACCGGAAAAATTGCCTACACGCCAATTACACTATAGGTGCGAGCGATCTTGAACTCATCTATACGGTAACAGATCTGGGAGGTCTATTCAACCATACCTTAAATTTTACCGACCACATTGGTATCATTGTTGGTAAAGGTAGACGGGTTTTTGCCTTTGTTAAGTGATGGTCAAAGGAGGTTGATGATCCTTACAATTCAAAAATACTGTATATCTCACTTGTTCGTCCCATTCTTGAATATTATTCGTGTGTATTGTCACCTCAATACGCGAAGTATCAAGACCTTATTGAATCTGTTCAGAAACAATTCATTTTGTTTGCTCTATGTAGATTTCGCTGGGACCAACATAGTCGTCCTCCTTCGTACACCGAGAGATGGCGCCTACTAAACCTTCCCAACTTAAGGATCGTCGAACCTGCCACGGTGTGATGTTCCTGCATAAATATTAACGGACATATTTGCTCCACCAAACTTTTTAGCAAATAAATTATTTTCGTCCAATTGCCCTTTATGTGCCCTTCACGAGCATGATCCTTTCCGTGTCCTATGGTCCCTGTACAATAAATAATATTTTCTGTTACACGTTGAATTGTCTATTGAAACAAATGTGCGTAATATGTTAAGACACCTATCCTTGCCTCTGCCCACCTCTTGTGAGTCGGAGCACATCATTAAAAAACACTCTCTTTTGTGGTGCAGAGGTAAGGGTATAGTTTAATAAGGGCATATATATATATATATATATTATAATTAAATAAAAAAATGTATTAATTGAAACCAATGTGCTTTATTAAAAACCAACGGATAGTTGGTAACCTAACCAGTAACACTTAAAGAAAAGAAAGAGTTCATGGCACTGTAAAAAATATCCACGGTGGTTGCCATGCCAGAGCACATATACAGATCGAACCAATTAAATTCGGATATTAAAGTATTAAACGAAAATCCATCAGCTGAACCCTCCACGAGGGCGCCGGCTGGGCAATAGACCCTGTATTACCCCAGACCAAGGATAATGCACTGCCGCTTGCTCCGTACGCGGTAATGCAGTTTTCCAGACTAGGGTTCAATTCCTCTCTCCTAAAGCCGGAGGAAATGAATCATTAGCTTTGTTTGGAGGTGCCTGGCGTAAGTCCTAACACAAGTGGGTGGTTCCCCGGAAAATAAACGTTTAAGTTTTTATCTGAATGGACGAAACAAAAAAATTCAATCAGGGCTGGGATGTCAGCCCAAAAGTCGGTGAAAGGCGTGACTGCTACCACCGGCGAGAATCACACCTCTAGCACGACGGGAGCAGGTCATACTAGTTGAACCACTACTGCCACCACCACGACAAGTCAGAGCAAGCTGTGCCGCTCGGGTGCATTCGTCGGTACAGACTCGTCTTCTCCACTCTCCGAAACCAGGCACCAGCTCCGCAATGGTCAAGCGAAGGAATAAAAGGTATTGTATGGTACAAAGCGGCTCTCAAGATCCAGAGCAGGCTCTAGAACAAGGCGTCCCTCTTCCAAGAGAAGGCAAAGCTAGCCTGAGCAAAGCCACGGACTGAAGAGGGCAGGCTGCACTACGCCACACTTCCTCACAAGATCTTGGGAGACTGATATATCAGCATAGACCGAAGGGACCCAAACGCAAGATAACCGAAGCGCGGGGAGAAACGGTGCACGCGCGGTTCGTCGACAAGGAGGTGGAAGATACTGTTTATCCCAGATACGGGAAGATGTCGTGGGGCATGGGTAGCTACCTGAGTCTCAAAAAACGTCACCCAGCCATCAGTAAACAGAAACAGAACCACCGTGCTCCTACGGAAGGCTGTACACGCTAACAGCCCCCACCTAAGTACAGCCCCACCGGAGGAAGTCAGAAGCCAGGTTAAAACCAGCTGCTGCTCGTGGGATGGGAGAGCCCCGACATAACCAACAGAGGTTAGTCACTCTTGGAATACATTCTCTCCACTAATCTACACATAGCAAACAAAGTGGTTCGTAGGTCCAACATCGTCAAACGTGCTAGATATAACGCTCGTAGTGGGACGGGGTATCATAATAGAAAGTCCTCGAGAGACCATTCTTCTCAGCACACAAGTACATTCATTTTCAATACGACTTGAAATACTAACTGGGGAAAGTTTATAAAGACAATTCCAACAAGACTTGGGTCCTTTCCGGGTACAGTAAAATCTGCGAAAGACATTGAAAATTCCCTGGAGACCCTAGGAAGTGGACAAAGCCATCGTAGTGGAATAAGCGAAAAATTATTATATTATATATTAACGAAGAAGAAGGAAATACGCAGGGCGCAAATAAACTCATGGAGAAACTTCCATGAAAAAAGCAACGACTTAACCTAAAGTTTTTAACTTTTCGTAGTCAGCTTTTTGAAAACAGCGAACTGTTGTCAGCTATTCGATCAGGTTTCTAAGATATTTCCCATATTGATAGTCACTATGAAATTTTGATGATAAGGATCTTCAGGTTCCGTCAATGGAGGAACTCTTGTAAGGCGTACGGCTACAAGATCGTAGACAAAGCACAGATCAATTAAGCGGCTTAAAGAATTATGAAACCCCCAAAATAATGCAGCCTTGCATTGGGCGATATTGGGAGGAAGAGCAGCCGGTCGCTTTGGCTGCGTATGCTGCAAATGCGCTTAGAGCATACCAGGTGGGAAGCCTAATGCCGAGCCCGAGCCCGAGCCCGGGACTGCCGAAAACTCATGAAGAACGGTGGTCAATATAAAAAAGACCGTCCCGCAGAAAGCGCCCTGGTCACATAAAGGAAAGTTAGCCAGCTAAAGGACCGGCTAGAGGAAACGCGCTCTTGGAAGTAGCCAAAGGCAGTTTTAGAGAACGCTAAGTCCATGAGAGACAGCAGCGGAGAGGAAGGCGAAAAGAGCGATTAAGGCTATTGAAACGCGTCTTTCGAGCGATGGCCTGGAGCTATGGGTACACAAGTCGGAGGCGACCCTGGTTTCTAGTCGGAAATCAGTTGAAACGGAGGAGGTTTCCTTTGGTGAAGCCACCATCGCATAGGACTATTAAACACCTTTGTGTTATCCTTTACACCCGGCTCTCGTTCAAGGAACACCTTGAGTTTCATAGGGACAACCTCACCACTTCTCGGTGTTGCCCTCAAACTCAAGGGAAAATATATCATCTGCGGCTCATATAGAACTATGTATATAAAATCGAGTTAGCCGAGAAAGCTGCAAAGCTAGCCAGAAGGTCTCCGTAGAATACAATCATACCTGAAATACAATAGGACATTTGGGACAATATAAAAAAAGTATTGCTAGAAGACTGGTCGCCTTTTTATTCACTGGTACAAAAAATTTAGCTCCGATAAAAATAAATACATTTTCTGCATCGTGCAATAGAAGAGAATGCACAATTTTTACTCGATTACAATAGAATACACAAACAAACATACTAGATACATCCGAACAATACAATATAGCTTAGCATAAAGATAAGGCGACAGAAGAAGAAGAGATAGAGAAATAGATTACGAAAGAGAAAAGCTAAGAGCGCAGCAGGTGCAGCCATACACCCATGCGCGCATGATTAGGCGCTAGCGGTCTGCTCCGAGCAACCTCATTAACATAAAAGATTTAATTCAGTTCAGTTTAAAATAAATAAAAGTTAAAAAAAAATTAAAAAAAATGCTTTTAAAATAACCGAACTAAAAAGAAGAAAAAAAATTTATAATTGCAAACAAAATTATTAAATTCTGAGCAATAGTATATTATTATAAACAAGATCACTAAATTCAGCGTTAAAAGCGTGGCCTCTTAGGGCCTCTTTGTTGCATGGAGTTTTTCCTGTTAACATTGAGCAATCAAGTTCTTCAATGCGAATACCGTTTAGGATCTATAAAAGAATTTATCAATCCTGAAGATTCTAATCAGGATAATGAAATTTTTTAATCAAATTATTGCATTGTCATCGGTCCTTGAGAAGTATGCAAATACAAAAGGACATTTGGAACAACATAAAAAAAGTATTGTTGGAAGACTGGTCGCCTTTTTATTCACTGGTACAAAAAAGTTAACTTCGATGAAAATAAATAAATTTTTTGCATCGTGCAATAGAAGAGAATGCACAATTTTTACTCGATTACAATAGAAGGGAATGCACAAACAAAAATACTAGGATTCATCCGAACACTATCATAGCTTCAGATTCCTTTCTAGTACTAGAAAAAATAATAAGACATCATCATCATAAGACAATTAATATTAAAAATCAATTGTTCTTTAAATCAATAAACCAATTTAAGTTAAATTTAAAATTTAATTTATATATATAGTATATATTCACATTTTATATTACTTTATATTATTTCATTATCATAAATGTACATATTTTTGTATATGCTTAATTAACAAATCAAGTTTTCTGTAATTTAAGATATTTTCTCATATAATGTTTTAAGGAATTAGTCTTATTAGTTAATTTAAAGACTGCAAACGTAGCTACAACACTTTTTTGATGTAACCAGAATATATTTACCAGTGGTGCTTTATGAGCTGCAGTTGTGTACTTTTTATATTACTGTAAGTATTTAAACAATAGATTCTATACATGTCATATTTTTTAAAAGTGTTATTTTGCATTCATAACTCGGTTTAGATTAAGTTATAATCTTTTTTATTTTATTTTGTTTTGAAATAAGATATACAAGAAATTCAAATTCACAGCGTAATTTTAAACCTCTCATCAAAGGAAATTATTGACTAATTAATTTAAGTTTCAGATTCTTATTTTATATCTTTAATTAGAATTATATATGAACTTTTCATTATTACTTATTGTACATGTAATATTTTTGACAATTTGTTTATTATAGCCATCCTATAGCATAACATAGAAAACTTATGCGCTCACGCAATATCTTCATTGCTGTTTTCATCATCAGATGATTCAATTTTCCTTCGTTTTCTTTTAGCCCGTACTTGATATGGTTTACGAGCACTTGGTTTCGCAAGTAAACTCGTTGACTTTCCAATGTGAGTCATGGGTACATCTGGAGCTTCCTAAAAATATAATTTTTGATGGAAGAAGAACGTTAAAACAAGCAAACCAGTAGGAAAGCTATAGCACAGTGTAAATAAAAAAAAATAACAAAAAATTAAGTTGAAGAATACACGAACCTTGTCCATTGGTTCTCTCATTTGTCAATTTCGAAAAGACACCTCGTGTATTATGATCGGAATAAACCACTATATAATATAACAATCACCACAAAAAGGAAAGTCTTAGATTTTGGGCCGATGTTTGCATAAAAGGTATTCTGAATTTAAAAATAGTCTTGGGCTGAATTAATTAAGTGATAATGCACATCATTAACGGAGGGTTTGGTTTTTTATTTTTGTAACACTTCCAGGATGTTAAGATTTTAGTCAGAAATTTGCAAAGCAAAAGTTAGTTTCTTTTCTTGTTTTAAATATACTTTCTTCTACTTATAAATATTATTATATACTTTTAAATATTTGCATCTCGTATTTATTTTTCTGTAAAACGGACGACTATATCACATAGCGTAGGAAGCATCGATAAATCAAGAAAATAATAATAAATAAATAATACAAAATTAATAGAAATTAATTATATCTAAGTTGTTTTTCCACTCATTTTTATCAACTTTGGGAACGGGAAATATTTTATTGTTTTATTTATTTATTTATATAAAGCTACCAGATTGTTCTAAACTTAAGACTAACTTAAGGGGTAACAAACAGTTAGAATTAAAAAAAAAAAGTTTTATTTTTATTTTATTTTCTTAATGTAAATATATTTATACACAGAAAGTTTTATTTAGTTCCGGTGAATATTTCTTGAGTAAAAAGTAAATTTGAAAAGGCGTTTCGGGGTGTTCTATGTAAATTGCTCCTAAGTAAAGTGCATTCCAAACTTTAAACGTGTTTTTCTCAAAATGGTGTTTTTAAAGTCGGTGACCAACCGATTAGTCTCAAATTTTACCACGACCTTCTTAAATATATTTTTTTAGAAATTAATCGAAGATTTTTTCTTTCCAATAAATAATTTATTTTTATAAACAATTTAAAGCGGAAATTTCGGTGAAAAATCGTTTTTTTTTTCCAAACCGCCATTTTGTCAAACAAATTTATTTTGCTTTTTTCTTTCGCTTAATTACTAGATTTGACATTACTCTTACGAATTTTGTTTGGCTTTTTATTTTCGGATGATTCAGTTCCGACATAAAGTGGTCACCGCAAAACGTCTTTTTTAAGAGGAGCTCCCGGAATTCAGCTGTAACTCTTTTCCAAATAAATATTTTTACTAGTTCTAAGTCTTAAAATACAGTTAAAAGATATTTTAATATGTGTTAAAATTTGGATCAATGAGTTAAAAAGTTCCTTCAAAAAACACTCGACAAAATGCAATTTTTTTTGGCCCTCTAACTGTATGTAACCCTTCAATGGGTTAGACCACCCTGAACTTTTTTAAAAATAGTTTTTTCTTTATTTTTACATAATTTTTTGATGCCGATATTCTTAGGGTCCCATCAGGCTTCAAAATATCTCATTATTTGTGGATATTATAGTTATTAGAAATGAACGCTGCCGGTATACCTTAGAGTACTTTTTTATCTTTGTATATGATTTCTCAGAAACTAATCTATCGGTTTTCTTCATTTTTTACACAGCTTCTCCATAACATCCTCTATGGCATGACGTAGGATATGACGTTGAATTTTTTTAAGTGCTCCCATTTGTTAAAAAAATTTATTCTTAGCAAAAATAAAAGGCTAACTTCAGCACGCCGAAATTTGTATGCCCTTGCAGGTTTGAAGTTCGATAACTAGGAATCAATTATATATATTTATATTTATGTGAAAAAAAACATGTTTACAGATTTACATTCACAGTTTTGCGTTTTCCTGTATATTTAACGATCGTTTGTTTGACAACTATATGACATTGTCGTAAAATTTGACATAAAATTGTAGAATAATATAATATGGCTGTATCTCGAATTTGATGAAAATCTGTTGAAAACTGATAAAGTTATAATTTTTAATTCTATTAATTTCTTGATCTTTCCAATGGGAGCTTTATGATATAGTAGTCAGATATTCATACAATTCTACACTAAATTGTAGAATAATATAAAAAAGACTATTTCTCAAATTTGATTAAATTCTGTTGAAAATAGAAATTGTCATTTTCTTTTTTTATTTTTCCGATTATTCCTATGGCAGCTATATGATATTGTCGCTCGATCCGGCCCGTTCCGACATATATACGAGTAAGAATATATATAAAACTATCTACAAAGTTTTATTCAGATAACTTCAAAACTGAGAGACTAGTTTGCGTAGAAACGGACAGACGGACATGGCCAGATCGACTCGGCTGTATTCACTATAGTCGGTTTACATACAAGTGCGCTGTATGAAACCAAGCACGTGCCTGTTTGGTTAGGAAATATGGAAAAACACTACAAGGAAATTAACTACTGGCGTGCTGCCAGATTGTATGTTTGCATTTGTACTAAGTGGGTTAGGATTAAAGTATTTAGTTTGGGAAGACTATTCAAATTCAAGGGAGGTTCAACAGTGGTGTTACAATAAGGGTAAATACGATATAGTATTTCTATTTGGTACGTGGAAATTGAGCTGACTCAACAAGTAAACACTTTCCACGTCATCATGAATGAGGTTATAGAAAAGGTTACGCCAATCATAGTTTTACGGTTGGCTAAGGAAGGTAAGTTTGTTAGGAGGAGTCTATTAGAGTACGAAAGTAATCTTTGCTTTGCATCCCAATTTAAACCGCGTAGATCGAAAAACAAAGTTCTTTTGAACCGATTAAATTCGTTTACTATGGACGCCTTACTGAGGGCTTCAAACGTATGATCCATATTCTTAGATCCATAGTTCTAAGAACGAACTGTTGTATCGCAGTTGCTCAAAAAAAATTTTCTCAATAAATTGTTTTTGGGTTTCGGATAAAAAATGTGCTATGCAGCATGTACACCATACGACCCTTCGCAATAAAAGTTTCTTATTTGATTGGCTATATCTCCGCCATTTGTTTTTATTTTGTTTCTTCCAATGAGCATTTCTTAGTTAAACATATGTACTTTGATATTCCAATCAAAAAAAAGTTGTATTTTTAATAGCTTTGGCAAAATTAATTTTTAAAATACTCTCCAAATTTGCTTTGGCAAAATTAATTTTTAAAATACTCTCCAATTTTGCCAAAGCTATTAAAAATACAAATACGTTCAGGGTGGTCTAACCCCTTAATATTAGAAGCCTTGGCTGCTGTGGCCTACCGCTCGACAAAGTATTTACAGATTTGAATTTTAAGGAATGTGGGCTTAAGGATAAGATTTTTCGGGTGAGGTTGGGTTTGTAGAGGAAGGACAGGATTTTCTTTGAATTTGCTGTTGCTGGATTAGCTAGGAGTTGGATTGGGTTTTCGAAGGAGAGAAGGATATGCATTGGAGGGTTCTATCGATGTAATGGGCATTTGTGAATTGTGTGTGTCCTAGGCGTAGTCTATTAATTTTTATACCGTTGCAGGTTATTATAATTTCAGTCAGATGTTTGCAACGCAGTGAAGGAGGCACCTCCGACCATATAAAGTATATATATTCTTGATCAGGATCAACAGCCGAGTCGATCTAGCCATTTCCGTCTGTCCGTTTCTACGCAAACTAGTCTCTCAGTTTTGAAGCTATCTGAATGAAACTTTGCAGTAAGTCTTCTTGAGAGCCTTGTCGGCTCTTTGGTTGACTTTTATGACAATGTTTCTTGGGATCCAAATTAATTTTATTTTTGGAAAGAGTTTGGTAATTGTTTCTAAATGTGGTGAAGTAGTAGGAATACTTGTTGGTGTTTGTTATAAATATTATTGGGGATGGGGAATCGGTGCATATAGCATATTTGCCTGTATTTTCATAGCAGATTTTGAAGGCTTGCAGTATAAGACACAGTATTGTTGTAATGTGTTTGTGGCTTTTAGGATTATTTCTTACAGCGCTCTCTTAAAGTCATTTTAAAAGTCGGTGTACACGAAAACTAAAAATCGTTTTATAATTGATTACTTCTTCAACTATTAACTATTAACTATTACTCACGCAGCGTTCTTTTTAAATAATTTTTTTTTTTTTATTTAAAAAAATTAACTTATTGCTTATTAAAAAAAATAAATAAAAAATAAACCGCCACGCTTTTATTAGTTCGGGATGTATGTCTATATGTACCCTTCAGTACCAAAATTCGTTTCCTATCCGATTCCTGGTGTCATGTTATAAAAACAAAAACAAATCTCATGGGTTTCGGTGAGAGAACTCCGAAACAAAGTAGGCAATGAAAATTCTACCTGTGTTCAGATACTGCCAAACAATTAATTGTTGTTTTCGAAGGGATTCGGAGCAGCGGTTCCGAAATTAGATTGAGATGATGAAAAATATTATTTAAAGAAAAAAGAATCGATAGTCTCGTTGTTGAAATCGATTTTTTCGCAGCTCTAATGACAGCTGAAGTATTCACAATTGTTTTACAATGTAATTCATTAAATATTGTTAAAGGGTAAGTGGCTTATTTGTATTCAGTTAATAAATTCATTTCCAGAATTGCTTTTGAACCTAGACGGTAATGACAGTTGAAGTATTCACAAATGTTTTGCGTTGTAATTTATTAAATATTGTTAAAAGGTAAGTGACTAGATACAAATGGTATTCAATTAATAAATTCATTTGCAGAATTGATTTTGAACGGTGCAAATAATATTTATGCAAATATTGATTTGATTCCAACATACATATTATTTTAATTATACATTTCCGGAAGGAAAGACCCGTAACATACGTTTAGGGGAAATGCAAGAAGTTGTGCTAATCATTGAACAAATTATAAAGTTTTATAAATAAATAAATAAATTGTAAATTCCGCCGAAAATTAAAAGGGGGGGTCCGAGGATTTTTCGCACGTTTTCCGCTGGGATTCCCGTCTGATTCTGCTTTAAATTTCCCTACTATTTCTGGATGCTTCCGTTTAGAATTCCTGGCTGATTCTGCTCGAAATCCGCTTATAAATTCCCTTTTGATACCGAAGTGAATTCGTATCGAAATTCACTGCAAATTCCTGGCAAGAGTACTGACGGATTCCCGGATGATTCCTCGGGAAATCCGATTTCAGGTTTGCTAACGCTTACTGGAGGGGTTGTATGAAAATTCAGGTATGTTTTAGGAAGGAGTACTCAACAATTCGACCTGATTCAGACCTGAATCCGAGAGGAATGGTACTGAAGGGAAAGCTCTGGCCGGAATCCAAAATTGTATATGGTTTATCAAGATACCTAAGACAACCTGACCGTGATTGAGCTTATTTATGAACACCACGCTGAGGTATACTCAAAAATACTTTCGTGAACAGTATTGATGTTATTTATCTGATTCTAAAGCCGCAAGTGTGATACGGACACATAATCAAAATATATAATGTGACAGGTTGTTACTCCAATTCTTTATCTTTATTCATTCCTAAATTCTTTGTTTCTAAATTCTTCGTTTGTTCTTAAATTCTGATTTACACTTTTCGTTTATTCTTTCTTCTAAAGCTCTCGTTTAAATAGTGATCTGCTGCTCGCAGGCAGCTTGTATTCAACCATCTATTTACAAGAGATGCGCTCTCTCATGAGAGCGTAACATATCGATTAGTGTGGCCAGAGCAGACTAATATTAACTGGCCTGTTACAATCAGGACCTAGGAATAACACACCTGCCATAAAGACAATATTAGACAACGGGTTGTTGAATAAAAGTCTTTGTATTCGTTTAAGTAGGTCTTTAGTAAGTATTCGACAAATTTACCAATTCAAGTTTTTAAAAAGTTAAGATTAATGGACAATCAAAAAGCCTTACTAATTTCGGTGAATAAAACATATGACTCACTTTTTTTTAAGCCGTTATAGTCGATTGATTCTTTATAAGGTCATGCTAAGGAGGTCTAATTATTGAAGCACATTTTTGTTGCTGCTGAGGGGTAAATAGCTGTTCAAATAATTTTGGGAACGATCCCAAGTTTTAAAGTCTTCTTAAAGTTAGAAATATACGACCACTACCCTTTTTATGGAGGGGAATTTCAAGCAAGTCCGCCCGCAAATCTGGATTGAAGCATTTGTCAAGAGAGGTTTGAAAGAGGTTTGAAAGAGGTTTGAAGACAACTAGGAATACTATAAAGACAACAAAGAAAATTATGGTTTTATGTTTCTCAGCAAAAAGTAAACGTTCTATCCGACAAAAGCATTAGCAAATTCACATGCATAGCAGAAAAATTGATAAAAGTTACATTGATAGGGAAAATTTTGCTTAATCCAGAATATGCATAGGGTTTGTGCATACCCAATCGAGAGGTGGGCCAAAGCAGCCAATGCTCATTAATTAAGTTAGACTTTAGTTTAACACAACCTGCTAGCTTTATATAAATAAATAAATAAATAAAAGTGGTCATTCGCCCTTTGCTTACTTCTGAATGAAAATATTATACCAATTGCAAAGATATTGATCACCAAAACTTACTTCCTTTGATGTATCCGATATAGTAGACGAGTGAATGTGACTTAAGTTTAAGCAATCGCCTGAGATAAGGGATTTCTTAGTTGAATTGATGTACACGATATTGTCAGATTCAGTCGAGTTATTTAAGATGGATTTTTCACGTAATTCCTCAGCATCAGAATCTCTTTCTTCTGGGTCCAGTTTTAACATAAGTTTCTTAAACTAAAACAAAATATTAGTATACATAGTATAATATACAATATACAGGTGTATAATAGAAAATAATAGTAAATAAAAAATATATTTTATCATACATACATCAAGGTATTTTACAACAAGGTCCAATTTTTCCTCGGTATTCAGAGGTCTAGAAGGGTAATTGAGTTCTGGGCTTAACACCTGTTGTGCCATTTGTTTTTTAATGACATCAATAGTTGTCTTTGGATTAAAGTCAGTAACACATCTACGCGTAACAGCCTTTTCATAAATCTTCTGTTCAGAGGGAGAATATCTTGAAATTTTACTATCGGTAATTCCATACATATCCTTTAAATGATCCTTTAGTATTAGTAGAAGCATACACGCTTGAGCAGATGTTATACATTTTTTTATTTCGGTCATATCTTCAGGCAAGCGATCAAACAAAACTTGCGGATCTTCCAAGTCATCGTCATCATCTAATACATCTCCTTCTTTGTCGCTTGGTTTTAGGTGCTCTTTAAAAGTCGCAAGTAAATGCGTTCCTGCCATTGATATGAGTAGATCTATTTGATGTATTAGATATAGAGGCTCATCTTGAACCACATATGGGAAGTAAGCCAGATTATCGGCAATGTACAACATTTGTTGTAGGGAAGTTTTTTGATCATCAAATTGTTTTGTAACAGTTTGCACCAAGGCACGTCTTTGTGGCTTAGTAGTGCGTAATAAGGTATAAAGAAAATCGTTTAATGATGTTGTTACCTGATCTGTTCCGCGTTTCCTTGAAAGCATAACAAAATCAATTAGATTAAATTAAAAAATACTAGTTGTAACTTACGCATAACCTCGAATAATATCGAGTTTTCCTCTGTTGTTAATTTGGAGAACTTTTTGTAGCTTGAAGCAAAGATGCAACCCAAATTGCACTTTCATATTTACAAAACCAGAATAAGTTTTGTCGATATCTTTTAAAAGGGCATCAGCTCTGTGTGCAGACTAATAAAATACACCGTTTTAGAACTCCATTTTCTCAATAAAGAGGGTATAGCATACCTCTACTTTTGGATCAGTGCTTAAGCATATCAAATATGGAACCATTCTAACAGGATGAACTAATCCTTGACGAAGAACAATCTGAATTACTTTAACGGCCCATAAACGCACTGAGTCATCCTGATTCAAAAAACATTCCAGTACTTCTTCCAAATAAAGTTGAATAATTCGACTTGCCATTCCAGATGAAACGTCGTTCATTTCCTTTAGATCTTCATGCTTTGATTGCTTTTCCCCTAAAAATTAAGTTTTTTTTTTAATTATACACAAATTCATGAAAAGGGAATTTAAGAAAAGTTCAACTATTTTTCTTTACTTTGTACTATGTAGAATAAATAAAAAGAACTATTTGTTAGTCAGTCGCTACAAATGTTCAATGAAAGCACGAACATTAAAGTAATTATAATTTGTTGTTATCTTGTATACATATGTGTTTTATTTCGTTTTTTAGGTGAATCGTCTATAAAAAAATAATAATTTTATTTATATTATTATACAAATATATCTAAGCGAAACATAGCTGAACTTTTTTTTATTCCCATACCCATATAAAGTATACTAACATTCTTTTTCTTTATTGTGCATAAACATTTCAGATTCAGTCAAATAAATCCAAATATTACGCATGCAAATTATCTTGAAACCGGAATCGTTTGCTGATGACCTTAATACATCGCAATAATAATTTTTAAGCTCTATTCTAGTTAGATATTCGTCGTTTAAAACGCAAAATGACCCAAGTGAGATCAGCGCTTGCTTTCGAATTTCTAGATTTGCGCACGTACAGAAAAACATTAAGCATTCAAATACATCATCACATATCGATGCAGATAGTTCACCATTTTTGGCACCTATAAAATACAATTTTAAAGTAAAATTATCGCTGTATACTTAATCAGTCATACTTACCTAAAGCACTGGACGATTTAAAATCGAAGTAGCGCATTAAAATTCCAATCGTAAAAAGACTTCGCCGAAAACTAGGAGTGTAAATACTATCTACACTGTAGTTTTTTTGAACTACTTGACTTCGGGAAACATCAAGTACTCGATAAAACCTTAAATGAAGAATCAGGTCATTGTAATAATTACAATATTACGGATTTTATTATTAAAATGCTCGGATCGAGTTATTTTAAATACAATAAAGAAAGAACAGATATTAATTTAAATACACGATTAGGCAAGGCCCTAGGCTCGAATAGCTAAAAATACACTGGTTAAATGTTCGTTCTCTTTTGATTAGAACTAGAATAAAACGTGTTTTACAGCGCACAGTGCTTCCACTTGTACGGACCATCGACCTTCCGTTGAGATATGTGTACTTGTAGTTAAACAATTTTCCCAAAAAAAATTAAAAGCAATTTTTTACGCATCAATATGCATAAAAAAAAACAAAGCGCCTGTAGAAAACGATAATGGGAAATAATAATGAGTTAAATTGTCTATAAACAGAAATATCAAAAACAAATGAACACAACAAATGATGAGCAAACATTGGAAGAGGAGCAGATTGCGCTGAAAATTAGACCCCGAGTGTATTAATGAATATAGGCAAGTCAGCAAATATCAGCAGCTACTTATTATATTTTTATTATCTTAAAACATTAACAAATACACCGATACCATTCGCAAAGGGCGAATAGGGGGTTTTCATATATAAAACACTATTTAAACCTATAAAATAACGTTCAAATAATACACCGAAAAAGTAATCATTTAAAAATACACAAAAAATAGTAAATCACAGAAAATAATTTCACAATAACAATTTTTATTGTAAATACCTAAAACCACGGGCAGATTTCACTACGGAAAGCCGAGCGGAACTTTTTAATAGGTGTGGCTGCCTAGAACCCGGTCGGATCCACTCGTCCAAATCTACACTTGGCCCCATGTTGAAAGGTGGTTATTTCTTAACTTTTCTATATTAGTGATTAGAGACGCGTGCTTTTCCGGACACGTTCGTTAGAAGAAGAGAAGGAAATCGAGAGCGCTTAGAGAGACCAGGCATCCTGGCTGTCAAAAGCTCTCATAATTGTGTCTATAAGGAATTTCGCGGTTTCTCGCGTTGCCAACGGCCATAAATATCGCGGACTCTTCGAATCTGGCGGTTTTCGTTACAATATTTTTAGAATATCCCGCTAGTTTTGTAGACAAAACGGGTTTGCCATTAACAAATTTTGACATTTTAGAAACAATTTCGTTAATTTTCACAAACGTTTGCCTTTTTTTTAAACCAATCGCGAAGAGGAAAACTAGAACTTGTGGTGGTCAGTCCTAACCGAAATTAGAAAATTAAGTAATATGATCAAAACAAAACCACCGCTGAATAAATAACATTCTGAGTTGGTTTAAAAACGCATATGACTACACTTGTAGAGTATAGAGTAGAGTATAGCTGAGAGCCTCCAGCATTGATTTTTTTTGTTCCGGTCCGACATATATACTACCTGTATAGCGCTTAGCAATTCCCGTATGCACCGAATACGTGTGAAGAATAGGAGAAGAGCGCCTGGAAGCATTCAGTTAGGTGAAGTTTGTTTGAAGGCTAAGTACTCGTACATTTCTTTTGTGACTTTTTATTTATATATTTTTAATTTTAATTTAATTCTCCGATTTTTAATTCTCCGGTTTCTTTAAATAAGGTTTTTTGTTACAGTTGTAATCTATTATGAGATGAAAATCATCTGCGTAGGCAGTGAATTTTATATGTTTTTATATATTTGTGAGGGAGTTGTCGGCAATTAGGAAGAGGATAACTAATATTGGGGATCCTTGAGGGATACTGTTATCGAGTGGGAAGCTATAAGAGAGGGAAGTTCTTTTTTTTTACTATGATTTTCCGGTTAGTCATGAAGTTGTATATATATTTTATTATGCGGGTTTCCATTCTTCCAACTGTTGGATGAGGCTTTGGATCCCAATTTTGTCAAAGGTTTTGGCGAAGACTAGAGATAGTGTTGACAAGTGTTTTTAATACGCATTTATTAGTTCGGGATGTATGTAGGTATGTATGTAACGGAATCTTTAAACACTATTTTCAAGGGTTTCCAGATATCTGATAAGCTTGAAACTTTGCATACTTCTCAAGGTCCGATGACAATGCAATAATTTGATAAAAAATTAATAAAAAATGATAAATTTGATACGACAATAACGGATTCCTTAGAAAATTAAAAAAACACACGTTGATAGGTACCCACACTAAAAAATATTAATTAAATAATAGATTAAAAAAACTTAAAAAACTCGCTTTTATAAATAAATAAATGAAATAAGGATAGGGATGTGGTCTCTACCATGGAGATCGTTAAGGACTCTCCAAGAGATCTCAGGGAAAATGTTAGCTGTGGCAAGAGAGAGGTCGATGTGGGTGAATGTATTGTGTGTCGAATAGTGTGTAGGAGATTTGTCGTTTAGTGAAGTTTAGATGGATTTGTCGATAAATTTTGCAATTCTGTTGCCTCTAGAGTTGGCTCTGGAGGAGCCCCAGTATGGGTGCCAGCTGTTAGAATCTCCTAGTACGATAGTAGAGAGAGTCGACGCGAGAAATGTAGATTGATATGAGGTCTATTTTTGTTTTTAGGTTTGAAAAGATATCAGTGGCTTCTAAGTCTGGGCTGAGGGTTTTTTGTGTGAGACGGAGTTGTGCACCAAAAGAACTGCTCCTCCGATTAAATTGCTGCTGTCATTGCAGTATAGGGAGAAGTTTATGGGGATTACTATGCTTTGGGGTGGTAATGTTTAATGATTTTTTTCTTTATTTGTAATTCTTAGTCATTGTTTCTGTAACCTTTATTATTCCATTGTAGTAGTTTTAACATATTTTAGCTTTGATGTGTGATTTTTCACTTATTAACAGGTATCCATCTCTCCTAAGTCGCTCTTTTGGCGTCGTTTTTCATGGAAGCAATTAATCGTTTGGGTGTGTTTAGAGGTAGGATTTTAATGTGTTTTTTTGGGGATTTAGTCGTTGTGAGAGGTGAGATGGTATTAGTGGTGGTCTGGAGACGGTTACTTGTTGAGGTCCTGGTGCATTACTATATTGTTTTGGGTTTTGGTTCTTGGTGACTGATGCGAGCTTAGAGTATTGTGTGGGCTGTTATGTTGTCGCATTTGTGTGTAGTTTTTATGGCTTAAAGTTCATTGCTGTGTGAGGAATACAGGATATTTTTTACTGGTGGAGTTATGTGGGCTAGTTTGTTGTTTTTCGTTACAGTTAGTGCATTTCTGGAACATTTTTCGTTGATATAGGGGTCTATGTGTTAAAGTTATCCGCAGTTGTAGCAAATTTTGTTGGTCTTGCCGTTTTTGAAGCAATTGTTGTATCTTAACGGCAGAGGGATATAAGCCCTGAAAGCAGCTTTCTGATACTCAATCATCATGATTTTGAAACCGAAAGCTTTAAGTTTGCATTAGTTTCAGAGCTTGTATGCTGGTTTTTGCTTTTATAAGCAGTGATCCGATTGATGATTTCGGAGGCTCTTGTATTCTTTTATTTCGCCACCACAGGCAAAATCAATTTGTTTTTTAACTAGGATTGGGTTGATGTTGTGAAGGTCGAGGCCGGGGTCGGATCTGGAGATTATTAAATATTTTGGCCCTGGGGATTTCAGGAGTTTTTCTGTTGTTGCAGCGTTTGATCGGCCGCGATCGGGTGGGTCCCCCATCTCTACGACTACATCTATCTATTATCTATTACAGTTGGTAGATTTTTTTTACACTTGTTAGTTGTTGGTGGTTTATGTTGTTTTTTTCTTGTTTGCTTTGAGATTGTAGTTAAGGGAAGAAATAGACGTCTGATCACTATGAGAGTTAAATTGCTACTGCATATATAAAATTGAAGCTATGATTTGTTTATTATCCAGCTGAGTAACTAAAATGTCTGCTTAGAACACGAGTTTTAAAATGCCGACGCGGTTGCTATGTGAAATGAATTTGATATCAAACATTTAATCAATAAAAATAAATATTAATTAGTGGATAATCGCTAACATTATTTTTACATGTTATCGTGGTAGTGAGAGCATAGAAAAGAGGGCAAATAAGACTATGCCAACCCTTTCTACTTATTTCTTTCTTAAGGGGGGAAACCACCCTGACATTGATGCCGATATTCTTACGGTAATTTTAAGACATCGGGCTTAAAAATATCTCATTACTTGTGGATTCTACAGTCTTTATCTTCTTTTGCGTTTTTCTCAAAACTAGGTTTTTTAAAACGGTGTACATGATTTCTGCTGGACCGATTCTCTTCAAATTTTTTATACAGCTTCTCTATTATCTTCTCTATTTTGCGATATGATTTTTTTTTTAAGTTTTAAATTTTTAAACAAAAATTAAAAAAAAAAACTACCATAAACACCATACGACCATTGCCTAAAAAAATGCCTTTTTTGACTGGCTATATCTCCGCCATTCGTAAATATTTTATTTCTTTCAATAAGTATTTTTATACCCTTGCAGGGTATTATAATTTCAGTCAGAAGTTTGCAACGCAGTGAAGGAGGCACCTCCGACCATATAAAGTATATATATTCTTGATCAGGATCAACAGCCGAGTCGATCTAGCCATGTCCGTCTGTCCGTCTGTCCGTCTGTCCGTCTGTCCGTCTGTCCGTCTGTCCGTCTGTCCGTTTCTACGCAAACTAGTCTCTCAGTTTTGAAGCTATCTGAATGAAACTTTGTAGTTAGCCTTCTATATACTCTCACTCGTATATATGTCGGAACGGGCCGGATCGGACGACTATATCATATAGCTGCCATAGGAATGATCGGAAAATTTTTACAAAAAAATTTTAACATTTTCAGTTTTCAATAGAACTGGATCAAATTTGAGATATAGCCATTTTACTGTACTCTACAATTTTGTATAAAATTTTATGAAAATCGGACTACCTTATCATATAGCTCCCATAGGAACGATCGAGAAATTAATAAAATTAAAAATTATAACTTTTTCAGTTTTCAACAGATTTTCATCAAATTTGATTTTATTTTAGTCTTATATTAGTCTTAAAATTTTGTGTCAAATTTCATGAAAATCGGACGACTATATCATATAGGTGCCATACAAACTATTGTTTGATGTAGAAGAAAAATGGAAATCTGTGAATGAAAAGCTGCAAATATAATATGTATAGGTGAATGAAATGAAAGCAGGTATTACTTCATTGTTTTTTAACACAAATATATATAATTTAAATGGTATGGATTCCTAGTCTTAGAATTTCTATCTGCAAGGGTATATAAACTTCGGCGTGCCGAAGTTAGCTTCCTTTCTTGTTTAGTTTAACATATGTACTTTGATATATTAATAAACAAAAAGTTGTATTCTTCACAACTTTGTCAAAATGACTTTTTTAAAAACACTCTATTTTCATGCGTTCAAGGTGGTCTACCCCCTTAAATATTAGAGACACTGCGTACTGTGGATGGTGTGCTGTGCGGCACTTTTCGCGAGGCTTGCCAACGTTTGAATTTACTCAAAAACTATACACATTGCGACTTAACACTCGCCGATGCAATTGTTCCTAACCCAGCGAATCAAATTCGAACATATCGACATGTCATCCGTCGAACACAGTTGAGTTTTAGTACAAACACAAGGACGAGATTGCAGACGATATTTTGCAAAGAGTTCAAACGACAACTTCTAATTTCGATCTTGAAATAAACTATGAAATGATTGAAGACATGTGCGTGCCCATGTGTGGCAGGCTGTTTTCGACATTAGGAATGCCGTCACCAAAGCACTTAATGCACGATGCATTCAAGTTTTAACGGGAGCAAGACTATGATCGAGATGAACTGTCAGAAAAAGTTTAAAGCCATGTGCCGCTTTCAAAAGCAGAGCAAAAAAAATTACCTATTCACTGATGAAGGTTGTTGATGGAATAGGAGGCATTTATTTTCTCCATGCTCCCGGCGGGACTGGAACTGGGACCGATCGTTGAAGGATTTAAAGGTAATTTAAGATTATTTGGTGGGGCTTTTATTTTCCTATCCGGACATTTTCATCAAACACTTCCCATCCTCCCAAAATCTACAACTGCTTATGATATTAATGCTTGCCGGAAATCGTCATCTTTGTGGTGTCAAGTCAGAAATTTAAATTGACCACAAACATGTGTGACTATTCAGAATGACGGCTCTGCTGCTTAATTCCCAAGACAGCTGTTGGCGCTTGGTATATTATAATAATACTGCGGTCAGTTGTACGTAGCATGTTCCCATGTTGGAAAGCCGACTTCGTTGCTTATCAATCAAAAATTATAGTTTATCATATCGCTCTCAACTGATGAATACCAAATAAATTACCTAAATAAAACCAAATGGATCTAAAAATAATCTAATTCCATTTAAAAATATATCCGTCATTAAATTTTTTCAAATGAATAAAAATCAAATTGTCATAATCTGTTAATTTTTCTGTCAATTTTAAAAAAATTTAAAATAATTCAAAAAATTATTTATATAAAAAAAAATCGGTTATCGATGTTACATGTAAACATCAAAAGTTTTACACAAATATCGAGAACATTTATATTTTTTTAGCTACAGTGGAGAGTATTGATTTCACCTTAATTGGATAGAAATTGATGATCAGTTTTTGCGGTACCATGTAAAAACTATATCCTATTTATCTTTACTTTTGGGCCACTAAAACATTAAGCATGAACCCTTTAGAGTCATCTATACAAATTACAAAGATACAAATTATAAGCAAAAACCTCAAACATAGATTGCCTTCTAACCTTAAAAATTGAATACTAAACCACTGAGTATGCATGCAAGAAAATAATTAGGCAACAAGCCAGTAGTTCATTTCCTCGCACTCTTTCCCTATATTTCTTTCTGATTATTTTTAATGCGTAATTTAATTGAATCATTCCGGCAGATTTTAATATGGAATTTGAATAAGTAATTACTAAAAATATAATATTAATATTTTAACTCGACTCGTTTAATGTTTAATTATTTTGAATTTTGAATTTTAGATTAGAGGACACTTGCAAAAACAAAGAAAGGACACAACGACACAACAACACATTACTGGGTTTGCTCAGATCCAGACTTACTGTACTATTATGTTTGTTACTGTAAGCTTTTAAAATTTTTAAGAAGTAAGAAAAGACGTAGGTTTTGTATCCATTAGAAAAAAACCTAGGAATCGAAATAAGAATTTGTAGAATAATAATTTGTGTAACCGACAACAAATAGACTCCTGTTAAACAACCACACGTAATATAACAAAGAAATGTCAATAGAAAACAAAAAGGTTGTTTTTGGCGGGTGGAGTTCACCGCGAATGATCTGGTATTGCCTAAAAAGACAAAACAAAATGGCAACAACAGAATTATTAAGTTAAAGAGTTTAGTTTACATACAGGTAACTACATCCTCAATTAAGGTATCTGTGGCAAGTAGAATGTAGAAATAGATAACTTCATCGAGTTCTGGATTTGTATTATCAGAACAAAGTCTGAGGTTTTTCTTAGAACTAAATGATCGTGTGCTAAAGGAGCATAGTGTTCGACTCTAAAAATATTCTAAAAATTGGTTGCAAATGTCCATCGATACTAAATTTTTTCAAGATATTTTATTTAATATTTATTGAACTTTTAAATTAATACTTACTTTTGAAAACAGTCTCGAATCAGCTTGTAATTCTGTGTTATTTTATTCACAAGTGCACCTAGACATGATACACAACTAGTTACTTCTGCTTGGTTTCTCGAAACGACCAGTAGCATTAAGTGCTCTTCCAATGCTGCCAAAAAAGATTCGCTCGCATTATTAACGAGAGGTACCACTTTTTCAAGAATGTCCGCAACTGAACATATAAATTTAGCGGCTGTTGCAGAATGGCATTTTATATTCAGGTAAGGCTCAATCGTCATAGCATGTTTGACCAGCAATTGGGGTCGTACTTTAGCTAGCAAATGTAGTGTAGTTATACACCCTAACATTTGTGAATTATCAGTGTCTTCTAATTCTATTAGTCTGTCAACCAATCCATCAGCTAATTGTTGACAAGCTAATATGATGTCCTGTGGAGGTTCCGTATTCTTTTTTATAGGGTCATTAACACTTCCATCAGACTTCAGTAAATTATCCTTTGGTTTAAAGATCTATTTAACAATGTGATATAATAATATAAAAATATAAAAAGGCTTTGTGGTATGTTAAACAAAAGCATTGACCTTACACTCATTAAAAGACCTTCCAACCACGTTGTTCCAGTATCATGCGCCGTATTTACCACATCTATAATTTGATTAATCTTCCGCTGTATGCCGTGCTAAAAAGAAATAACATTGTCATTAACGCTTATACAGTTTTAGGTTTGAATTTAATCGGTAAGTTTTTGTTTTGTCTTCAAATTTTTGCATATTAATATGTAGAAGGACTTTTTCAAGGGTTTTTCTTACAAATTTTCTTAAAAAATAAGAATAAAGAATAAAATAAATAAAAGTTAATCATATCAAAATAAAAAAAAAATTTTGTTTTTAACAAATCTCGTCCAAATATAAAGCCAGATCGAAAAAAAAAATTAATCTACGAAATCTTTCATCTTTCCAAGTGAACGGACGTGTTTTTTTTCTTGCGCTCTCGTTTTGTGTAAAAGTTTGAATCTTACCACCGGGGTTAACTTAAATTTTCTAATTTGTGTTTATAACTTCCCGTTCACTTCGCGTGTGTATGCAGCTATTCTAATTTGTGTACATAATTGGCTTTATTTTCCAATTTACTAGTGCTGCTAGTGTTAGCTTTTGCATATTTTGCATTCCTTTTTGTGCCTTCTTCGTCTAGCTTTTGTTTGCGCCGTCGCAACAGCTAAACGTTTTTGCTATCTACTTATCTTCCACGCTTTCCCACTCTCTCGCTTTAGCTGTGCCGCTGCACTTCTTATCTTATCTGATCTCATACGCTCCCCCGCTCTCTCGCTCTCGCTGTGACTCTTCACTTCTTATCTTCATAGCTCTGTTGTTTTTTTTTCAAGTACAAGTACAGTGGTAAGTCCTTATAATGTCTGTAAATATTGTCTGTTTCGTCAAAACCTGCAAAAAGGCAATTGCTGCAGGTGACCTTACAATCGGCTGCTGGCTGTGGGACAACGTCATGCACGCCAAGTGTATTGGAGTTGCAGCTCGGACGGTGGACGATGTAAAAAAAATATCGGCCTGCGTTACTGTTGTGAGGCCTGTCGCGATGTAGAAAGGGAGATGATGTCTTTCATGCTGCAAACCAAAAAAGGTTTTAAGGGCATTTTAACGAGTTTTCGTAAAACTCTTGATATGTTCTTGGCGCTGGACACCCAATTTAATAGCCTTACGCTATTAAATGAGTCTCCTAGGCGCAAAAAGACTGCTATTGGTGGGCAGCTTGTAGACGGACCCCAACTACCTGCAACGGGCTCTCAGCAGCAGCCTCCCTCGGCTTAGCCCTCGACCTCAGCATTAATTCCAAGAGTGCTGAGATCGAGCGCTAGAAAAGATTCGGTACCCGAATGTGCAGCGGGAGTGGCCGTACCGCCGGTGATTTCTGTTTCGTCCCGGGGGGGTCGCAAATATTGACCCCTCAAAGTCCCGTGTTTAACGATATATCTGCCCAGGGTGTTAGGCCCGGAATACCGGCCGACAATGGCACCGCAGATAACCAATCTGCCTTGCTAAAAGCCCTTATAGCGGTTCCACCGACGAGACATATTTTTCTCGCGGCTCTCCCCTGATCAAACACCGGAAGATGTTCTCGCCTTTATACAAGACAAAACCAGAGCCGAAAAAATTAAAATAAAGGTGGAAAAGTTTAAATTTTCTTACGCTAGGGACATTTCATCTTTCAAAATAAATGTCCCTAACGGGCTCTTTAACACTATTTGCTCTCCCAACTTCTGGCCAAAATATATCGTAAATAAGGAGTTCGAAGCGAAGAAAATAAAAAAACGGCCTGTAGGAATAACTCTTCCCAGGCCTGATCATACCACTGCGCCTTCTACGTCTTCCAATCCCGACCCAAAAAACTAACCTACTCCCTAGGTATTTCCTATCAGAATGCAAGAGGCTTACGTAGTAAGCTTCCTAACTTGTATTCTGATAGCCTTTCGTTTGCATCTCAGGTTATTGTGCTTACAGAAACTTGGTTAAAGCCGAAGATTCTGAGCTCCGAAGTTTTTTCAGCTGTGTTCAGAGTATATCGGCTAGATCGCCCTATCAGGCGCGGGGGTGGAGATCTTATAGCGGTGGACTCTTCACTCACGTTAGATTTATTAACTTTCGAGGAATGCAACGATGTTGAATTCCTCTGTGTGAAGCTATCTATTGAAGGTAGCTCCATTTTTATTACCTGTTCCTACATACCTCCATTGTCGAAACTTCCTATTTATTGGAACCACCTTTCCGCTATTCATTCCGCTATGGACTTTTCGATAGAGACTAGTTGGTAGTCCTAGGTGATTTTAATGTCCTGCTAGTTGGTGCTCAAATAAATCCACAAATACTATTCTACAACATGGTTTTTGTCACTGGCTTGTTCGACATTTCGCTACCTCAAGTCAACCATGTGTGAAATTCCTTACAGCGCTTGCTTGATCTTTGCTTCGTCTCTGACCCTGGGAGAGTCAGTTTAGCAAGGTTGGCGCCTCTGACGCAGCCCGAAGATCCTTATCATCCAACTTTCGATGTGACTCTTGATATTGGGTGTGATGTACAGAATGTTTTCGCAAAACGGACTTTGAACGGCTGAATAATTTTATAAACGAGTTCAATTGGTCCGATCCATACATGTGCACTGACATGGCAGTTGCCGTGGATATTTTTTACAGTGCCATGAATTCATTTTTTACTGAATGTGTTCCGTTATATTATCCGCCAAGCTCGAATAAACCACCGTGGTTTACTAAAGAATTGAGCCGATTTAAAAATAAAAAATCTACCCTGTATGCTAAATTTAAATTCACCGGATCTCAATCTGCCCTTTCATCTTATTTATCAGCTCGGTCAAACTTTGCCGTGCTGATCGCTCAGTTATAAAAACTATTTAACTCGTTGTAGGGCCCAGTTCTCACAGGACCCAAAACAGGTTTTTAATTTCGTTAACACTAAACGTAAGCCTAAAACAAATCCTTCCTCGCTATCATTTGAAAATAATGATCAGGCAATAGCCGATTTATTTTCGCAGTCTTTTCAAACAACCTATTCAAGCTCTTCGTATTTACACCAGACTTATTTCTACGACATACCCAAATCAAACTTAATTTTCTGTCCTAGCCTAAACGAAAGCTCTCTCCTTTTAGATCTTCATCGTGTCAAGCCAGTTTATTCGCCAGGTCCCGACGGAATTCCTGGCTGTGTGCTCAGGTATTGTGCTGACGCCCTGTGCTATCCCCTTCTGAAATTGTTTACCTTGTCCTTGGAAACCTCCCACTTTCCCATTATTTGGAAGGAATCGTTTATTATTCCTCTCCACAAAAAAGGTAGCAAATTGGATGCCAGCAATTATAGAGGAATCTCTAAGTTGTCGGCCACCCCTAAATTATTTGAAAATATTAGCACCCCTCACTTACAGCACCGTTGCAGATCAGTTATTTCTCCATGTCAACATGGTTTTATTAAGCGAAGATCAACAACAACAAATCTTTTGGAGCTCTCTTCCTATATTATAAAGGGCTTCCATAATAATTGTCAGACAGATGTAATCTATACTGATTTCAATAAAGCATTTGACTCTGTTAACCATTCTCTCCTCGTTAGAAAACTCGATTCAATGGGTTTTCCAAGTGATCTTCTTAATTTGATCTCTAGTTATTTGAATGGCAGGAGACAAAAGGTCCTCTTTAAGAATAATTTATCCAATGTTCTAAGGGTAACATCTGGCGTCCCGCAAGGAAGCCATTTGGGATCCTTATTGTTTACATTATTTATAAATGACCCACAGTCTTGACTAACTCCAGAGTGCTTATGTACGCGGATGACGTCAAGCTTTGCGTGCAATACAATGACGTTGCCTGCCAATCGGATTTACAAACAGATCTTAATAATTTTCAAACTTGGTGCCGTGTAAACTTATTAAACTTAAATGGCTCGAAATGCAAGCTAATGACATTCTCTCGTGTCGCTCCTAAGCTTGCTACTTACACGCTGAACTGCTGCTCTTTGGAAAGAATTAATACAGTTGACGATTTGGGCGTCCGCTTGGATCCAAAACTTGACTTTATTGATCATATTTCGTCTATGGTGAATAGAGCCAGGGGTGTGCTTGGATTTATTAAACGGTGGTCGAAGGAATTCAATGACTTCTATGTTACTAAATCCTTATATACTTCCTTAGTTCGTCCTATCCTAGAATATGGATGCTGCGTTTGGAGCCCTCAGTACGGCGTCCATAGTAAACGCATTGAGTCGGTTCAAAAGAACTTTTTACTTTTCGCTCTACGCGGTTTAAATTGGGATGCAAACCAAAGATTACCTTCCTACTCTAGTAGACTCCTATTAATAAACTTGCCGTCCTTAGCCAATCGTAGAACGATGCTAGGGATAACCTTTATTTTTAACCTTATCCATGGTGATGTGGAAAGTGCTGACTTGTTGAGTCAGCTTAATTTCCATGTACCATGTAGAACTCCTAGATCCTATATGCCTTTAGTGTTGCGCCACTGTAGAACCTCCTTTGAACTGAATGAACCTTTTAGAGTGCAATGTGCAAATTATAATGATTTGTACACACTAATCTCTAAAGTAGAGACCCTTCCCAAATTAAAATCTTTAATACTAACCCAGTTAGTTAGCAAGCTAACAATCTGGCAGCACGCCGGTAGTCAATTTCCTCGTATTCTGTCCTATATTTTCCATCGCGCCTACTAACACCTAACCCAAAAAGGCACGTGCCTGGTGTCATACGGGCCACTTGAATGTACTGACCTTAGTGCACCAAATCTGATAAGTTTAACTATGTTATAAGACACGTATAAATGTATAAACCTCTAAACCCTTGCAAATTCTTTTCCGATCTCTAAAATTGTGAAAAAAAATTTTAAGAACCAAATAAGTTGTGTTTGGAGCTTATGTCAGTTTTGGTTGCTTCGAATTGATCGCTGCAGTTGCAATTGTCTGTGATGCCTAGCCTTGCATGCGTCGCAACCAGGCAATGACCTGTAAGAATCCCTACAAACAATCTGCAGATTTTGTTAAATGTTTTTCTTTTAATAATCGGGAATGTTCTTGGTATCATATATTCAGATACAATGCTCATGTTTCGGCCAATTGAACACTCAGTTCTAATGCAACAAGGCGTTGTGCTTCC